CTGATCTAGTGGGGGATGTCCCTGCCCATGGCAGGGGGGTTGGAACTGGATGATCTTTAAGGTCCCTTCCAACCCTGACTATTCTGATTCTATGATTCTGTTGCTCTGTGTGCATGCATAAACTACGTCAACCTTTTGTAGGCAGCAACGCCAACACTATATGTTGGCTCAACATCATTGTTATTTACTTTTGTGGAAGGAACTGGGCTAGTAAGGACGCATTAACTTGAAAAATGGAGAAGCTTGACAGAAAAGTAAAGCACCGAGTGGTGCTACAGTGAAGAAGAGACAGAGTAGGACATATGAGGGGCTCCAGACTGCTGCAGACTTTTGCTATCTCCTCTGAAGCATTTTCTTAGTGTAATATTTGGGTTTTCTCCTTTCAGTGGAACATAGCGTACTTGTAAAACCCTTATTTTGGTACTAAAAATTTGCCCCTGATTATTTTGGCATTTTAGCTTGCATAGAACATGTATACTCACACTGTGGGAGAGAGTTAGTTATTTTAGGTTTGGATAATGAAGGAGACCATGAGCAGATTTAGAATTTTTGGATTAACATTAAGAATTGAAAAAAGAGACCCCACCACCACCTGCAAATAAAAAAACCCCCACTTTTAATGGCAGAAATTGCAACCATGCCCAGAAAGACAATAGAAAGCCAGTTAGTAAGTTCAAGATTTTGGCACCTGCTGTTTAGAGGGGTTTCCTTTATAAATATGGAAACCACAGTTTGGTCCTAACCTGAAATTATCGGTCATTTTTTAGCAGAATAGCTCTGATGACAGGGCTCAAAACAAGCACAGTGGGGTTACTCGTCTTCACTTTCATATTCTTGCCTGTCTCGTCAGTTTGGAGCTCCATGGTCCCAGTGAAGTGTGTTGCACAATTTGCTGAGCATAAGACCAAAAAAAAAAAAATTTGCTTTTAAGTTTGCATAACAGCTACAGTCACACAAGTGAAACAAAACACAGAGCAAGTTCAGAGAAGAAAAAGCAGCAATAATAATAAAAAAAAAATTTGCAAACATCAGCTCTAGTCAGGCATGACCACATCTGATTGATTCCAGGGAAGATTTGCTTTCCATGTGGGAACTAATTTCTCTGTCGGTGTGCGGAGTATTTCTCCTACCTGTCCTCTCTCAGTCCCAGATCTGCAGCCTCAGGCCAGACTGCCTGGTCTGTTGTTTTCCTAACCAGGAGCCCCTCATCACTTTCCAGACTGATGTGAATCTCGGGTTTCCTCCGTTCTCTTCCTGGACCCAAAGAATTTCCCTGTTTCTATTCAGCCTGACAAACTGCTGGCAGATGGACCACTGATGCCCACCTCCTTCGAGCTACGTCCTCCTTTTGAGGGCTGGCATTTGGTGAGCAAATGCCAGTGGAGAGGCTGGGGTCAGGTGGGCTGGAAGGAGATGTTGCTCTTGAGAGAGAGGCTGTTGGTCTGTCCTGGACGTCTGAGATGGAGCGTGCTCTTCCACTCATGGACAGTGCGCAGGGCTGTAAGTAAACACAAAGAGTAGACGCTACTCTGAAAAGTCATGTCTTGTTCCTGTGCCGTGTTTGTGATGTGAAACTTCATTATTTAATGCCTGTACAAACTACTTCAACAACCATTCCGTCTCCCTTTCATCTTGTGTGGGAACTCAGTTTTTAAAGGACGTTTTGATGCCTCTGTTTGTGTTCCCTGTGTGACTAATTTGAACCAGAGCCATTTCAACCTGTTTGCCCGATTGCCCCGGAGATACTGGGGAGGACACAGATGTTTAAGGGCAACTTCATTATTTAATGCCTGTACAAACTACTTCAACAACCATTCCGTCTCCCTTTCATCTTGTGTGGGAACTCAGTTTTTAAAGGACGTTTTGATG